AAAGCTGCAACCTGCACAACTTAAATACACTGTTAAAGCAGTGTCAAAGGCAGATGTGCAGCAACCAAATCCCTTACAGCAAATCAATTAAAGTTCCACCCTTTTTCCACTTCATGATTTTAGAGAATACTGCAATTTTTATTTTGATAGCTAAGGAGGTCGATGATATAGCTTTTCCACCAAATTTTCTATCATTCCTTTCAAGCCATATGTGATAAACCGCAGAACATACCAGGAGAAAATACAAATCCTTATCTTTAGAGTGAGTTTCATCAATGTATTCAAACAGCTGCAGTATATTGGGTCTAAGCAAAAGAAACCCAAGATTTCTCATCAGAGTAGAGATTATAGCAAATGAGTAATCACATTCGAAAAAGATATGGCTAATGTTTTCATCATAATAGTGGCAAAGAGCACAAGTATTGCTAACCGAAATACCCCTAGAGATAAGACAGTCCGCAGTTTTAAGGCCTCCCTTTAAAGTCATCCAGCAAAATGAAGAATATCTAATCACACACCTCTTATGCCACACAAATTTCCACCAGCTTACTTTGGGAAATTCTCTAAAATAAAATGCTTTATAGTGCTTGTGATTACAATTCTTACCATCACCCCAGTATAAGTTATCAGTGGAGCCATCATTAATATGAATTTCAGAGAAGGCACAGTGAACAGCAGCAGGCAAATCAGCAGGCAAGGCCCACTGAACACCATCAATAATAGCCCCTATATTTTCATTTACAGGAAATGAACCAAGCAAAGGGTGCAGCTCAGCAAATTCATTTAGTTTTTTTCCTTTAAACCAATGGTCCCATTAAAGAGAGTAACAAGAGGAAGAATTCACTCTGAAATGAAAATTCTGTTTTGCAATGAGAGCATCTTTACAAACATTTTTCCAAAATTTAGAGGCTTTAGAGATAGGCTCTTTCCAAGGGGAAATATAAGTTTTAAAAAGCCAAGCACTTAAAGGGCTGTGAGTATTATAAATCCTAGCAATGAGTGAACAATTGTAACAAAACTGGATGGATTGAATAGAAGGAAGACCAATCCCTCCCATCTCAATAGGCCTGCAGGTGTTCCTCCAAGCAATAAGGTGCAACTTTTTGGCACTAGCATCACCAAAGTATAAGAATTTGGCACATAGTTTGTCAATTTGCTTAATAATAGTTTTAGGTATAATGCCACCACGAATCCAGTATGCAATAGTATTCTATATGGTGTACCTTAAAAACTGCAGCCTACCCGCAAATGACAGTGCTTTGGCCTTCCATCTAGACAGCTTCCTAATGACATTCTCCAAGAGACAAGAAAAATTGGCAATCTTCGGGTTGTATGGAGAAAAAGGCACACCAAGATAGGACATAGTTGAAGAGGAATTGGCTATATTAAGGGCAGCACAAATGCTAGCAGCATTGTTACAGTTGGGGGGGTAAAATAACAGAGCTTTTCTCATAATTAACATAGAGCCCTGAAGCATCAGAGAACACCTTGAGAACTTGTGTAAGTTTTTCACAATTAATAATATCAGCTTTCCTGAAAATGATTAAGTCATCAGCATATAAAAGATGAGAAAGCCTATACTCCCCAATAGTGAGAGCCTCCAAACTGCTATCATGAATATTGTAATCGAGCAAACTAGAAAGGGCATCCATCACAATGCTAAAAAGATAAGGACTAAGGGGACATCCCTGCCTTAACCCATTTTTTGAAGGGAAGAAGCCTTCTAAAGCACCATCAATGCATAACGAGTACCAAACATCTTTGATACAAGCATCAATGCAACCCAAAAAAACGTCAGGAAAACCCTTTTGTTTCATCCTAGCCATAAGAAATTCACGAGAGACACTATCAAATGCTTTTTTGATATCTAGCTTTACACACATAAGCTTGAACTTGGAAGTTTTCCTAGAATGCTGAAGAATTTCATTAGCAAGGATAATATTGTCAGAAGAGATTCTATGTTAGTATGTTGAATAAACCCAGCTTGATTATCTTTAATAATGAGAGACAAAAGAGGTTTCATCCTATCAGCCAAAACCTTAGCAATGATTTTATAAGTGGTATTGCATAAATCAATAGGCCTAAAGTCAGAAAGAGTCTCAGCATTATTAGATTTCGGTATAAGTGTTATTGCAGTGGCCTTAGTAGTGTGAGGGATGTAGGCATTGCGGTGGAACCCCTTAATAGCTTTGCAAACCGTATTGCCAATTAATAACCAAGTGGCTTTAAAAAACTCAAAGTTAAAACCATCAGGTCCTGTAGAAGAGTTGGAAGATCCAGAGAAGACAGCTTTCTTAATAACAAGATCAGTGAAAAGGCAGTACAAGAGACTCGGCCATAACAGCAGAAATAACCTTATCAGTGGAGAAAGGCTCAGTGCCAAGGTCTGAATAATGAGAATCATTGAAAAGATTGTGGAAATAAGAGATTGATTCCTGAATAGCATATGACACAGTAGCCCCCGAGTTATTCATTGCTAAGGAAATGGCAGTATTTCTAAAACTTCTCCTTAACCGAATTTTAGAATAAAGGAATTTCAGATCCTCTTCTCCCTGCGATAGCCACTTAGTTTTAGCTCTCTGTTTAATCCAGGAATACCACATAGAAGAAGCCACCTCAAGCTGACTATTTATATTTTTAAGCTCCAAAGAGGCCTACTGTAAATTAATATCAGAATTCAACTTGTTAAGACAAACAAGTTGCTTTTCGTGCCTGGTGCCTGCCCACACTTTGCAGTGAACTCTCTTGAGCTCACGTTCAAACTCCACGCTAGGACCCGAGTGCCCGTGCCTACACCATGCGAAGGCCATGCTCGACACTCCCCACACCCCGCGCAGGTTGCGCCTCCACCCCGCGCAGGCTCGCACATGAATTCATCACGCTAGCTTATTCTGGGTTCATAGGTCCGGTCGGAAGGGGTCAATCCGGTAACCCGACGAGTCAAGTCTGGGTCTAAATTTCCAACCAGTTTATAAAATCAGGTCAGATTTGGGTCAATTCCGAGTTCAACCCGAACACAACCCAAAATCCATTTTAATACCCCTAATATGCATGCAATGAATTTTCAAGTTCGAGTTAAATTAAATATAAGTGATTTATTTATATAACAAGCGGCTAATTTAGGCAACATGCTTTCTGATTCATATAATGGAGAGCTTCTTTTACGAAATATTAACTAGCTCAGTTCAATGGTTGAGCTCTGAACATGTGCCTTCCTCTCCACCAACTCCTGTATCAAATTTCCAAGATCATTATAAGAAGACCCTCCTTTATCCACAGCCATCCTCGCCAACTCTTTAAGCTCCCTCGACCGCCTCCGCCTTTCCTCCGCCTCCTCCTCCTCCCCCATCAACCTTCTCACCGCCGTCTCTAAAGCTGCTGCTTCTACAACTGGTAGCTCCTCTGCCGTCCTTAGCCCATACACCTTCGACCCCACTGCTACCCCAATCTTAAGCACATCCACCAATAGCCTCTCATTAAAAAATTGCTCTGCATGAAGCGGCCATGTCGCCATTGGCAAACCAGCTGATATCCCTTCCAAGCTTGAATTCCATCCACAATGTGTCACAAAGCCGCCCACGGCCACATGGTTCAATATCAACAACTGTGGCGCCCATCCTTTGATTATAAGCCCCTTCCCTTCAATCCTCTGCTCATAACCTTCAGGAATCCATTCCTCACCTGCAATATTCCTCACCACCCAAACAAAAGGATAGCTTGAAGCCTCAAGCCCAATGGCCATCTCCCTCAACTGAGCTATCGTGAAATCACTTGTGCTACCGAAGCACAAATACACTACAGATCTTGGATTTTTGCTGTCGAGCCACTTCAAGCATTCTTCACCTCCTCTGCTTTCTCCTCCCCTTACTGACTTGTCGACCTCTTCTTGGTTGCAAAGCGAGACAGGGCCGACATGCCATGCTTTCTTCCCCAACACTTTCCTATAGTGCTCGACATAGTCTGGCTCCAACTCGTAGAAGCTGTTCACCACCATCCCGTAGTTCTTAGAATCAACCTCTTTCGCATGCTTGATGACCTCCACCAAGGGGTTCATGGAAGGGTTTAGTTTACTAGGGTCACGAACTTGGGATCGGAGCATCTCGATGTGATGCGGCAAGCCAGGGAGGACGATGGTCTCTGCTTCCGGTGGTAGGCTTTCAAGAGGTTGGTGGCGCTCCATGCTATCGATAGCGCACATTGCGAAGAAGTTGGAGCCGAGAAAAGAAATCCTCGGTATGCCATTCTCTGCAGCAACTTCGCAAGTCCATGGCAAGAAAATGTCGGAGACGACGCAGTCAGGGCGGAGGTCTTTGAGGACATGATCAAACGGTTCACTGAGCAAGGCAACGGTTTCTGCAAATTTGAAAATTTGTGCGTATGAGGAAAGCGAGTTTATGTTCTCAGTTTCCTCAGCGGCGGAGGGGAGATGGATGAGGTGGAGTTGGATGGGGGAGATCGCAGAGGAATTGAAGCGGTCGATGGTGGGGCGAATGAGGGCGTCGTTGCCTGAGATGGTTATGATGGCGACGGCAACTCCACGAGCTGCGAAGAGTTTGGCCATGTCAACCATGGGGAGCATGTGGCCTTGCGCCGTGATGGGGAAGAAGAGGACGTTGAGGCTTTGGTCTGTAAATCCCATTGTAATTTGCCTGCTGCAACTGGAAATCAGGACTGGACTTAATAGTCTTAAAAGTGAACCGTAGCAAATTTTTTTTCCAACGTAGCGTAATGGATGATGTAAGAAGGGATGTTTGAAGAAGGGAAGGGTTCTAGAAGCCGTTGAACAGTTAGCCACGAATCTTTTCATGGAAAATATATTATATTTAATATAAAAAAGAAACATATTATTTTATAAAACAAACGTAAATAATTATATTTATTAAATTGAAATATTAGTAAATTTGAATATATATATTAGTTAAAAAAGTATATAATAGCATTATAAAATAATAAAAAAGAAGTATAATAAAATATAAAAAACTAATACTTAAGACTTGAAGTTATTTGTTAGAAAATAAAAATAATTCTAATGTATGTATATCTAGATTTAAGAGAGTTTTAGAAAAAGTTAGATTTAATAATTCTAATCATAATTTTAAAAAGAATAAATGATAAAGTTTTTATTACATTTTAAGATAAATAAATATATAAAATGTGAGTTGAATTAAAATGTGAGTTGTTTCATCTTTAGTATGTAATGGATAATCCAACAATATTTGGAGAAATCATCAACTAGTAAAATGTAATATTTGATTCCTTAAAAAGAGGGGGTGGGAGAAGTGCCCCAATTGTCTGAGTGAATGACATCAAATAGCTTAGAAGAAGTAAAGATGTGAGAGCTAAAGGGAAATTTATGTCTGTGAATTACATCACTACCAATCTCCCACATGGATTGACAAAATTTTGTGAGGGGTTTTGCTTGAGAGGTTTAATGTGTGTGCAAGTTATTGAAGAACGAAGTGATGTGGGTGACCAAGCCTTGTATGCTATAAGTTATCTGATTTTAATGATGTGTAGAGAGCTATAGCTAAGCTATTAGAGCGACGTGGAAGGATTGAGTAGAGATCATGATTATTGCGACCTTGACGAATAGTTTAATTTGTCAAGAAATCCTTGATGACAAAACCGTTTATCATCAAATGATACAAAATAATTATTGTCATTGGTTAGTTGATGGATGGAAAGAAGATTATGGGAAATGGAAGGAACAAGAAGAATATTTTGGAGATGGAGCTTACGGTTGGGGTGAGGCATCGAGAGGATTCCTTAACCGCTATTAGAGATAGGTAGTAATGGACCATTACCAACAGTTATGGTGTACGAACCTTCACATGTGGAGGGATTCTGCAATTGAGTTACATCTGCTGTGAGGTGAGAAGATGCCCTAAAATCTAGATACTAGTTTGGATCTGGTTGTGTCTGGTGAGTAGAGGAGAGACCGATTGGCATTGGTTCATATTTGTACTTCAAGTTGCACCAGTGCCATCATTTGAATGCAGCGTGTCACTCGATTCATATAACTGTCGCTGCCCCTGAAGGTAGATAGAGTGACTGCAAGGTTATCAATTGTGGAAATCTTCAAGTTTTTGCACTACAGAAAAATTAGGGATTACCGACGGTCCTATAGCTGCCGAAATTATCGGCGGTTAAACCAACAATCTAACCGCCGGTATTAACCGGTAGTTTATCCGGCGGGTTTTAATATAAATTTAATATAAAAAACTCATTCTAATATAAATTTATTTTATGGATTTATTCTCGTAGTGGGATAAAGGCTTGATGTTGTTGTTGTATTCTCGTAGGATGATTTTGTATGAATTTGGGAAAATTATCAGTCTACTGGTGATGGATCATCTTCATGATCGACCCAATATTCCGAGTATCATACGTGGTCAGATGTTGTTGGAGGAAGGCAGAAGGGGAGGGTATATGTCTTAGGTTCGCAAGGCTATGCTTATGAGGGAAATTCATATGCATCAGCATTTTATGATGCTAGTGGAGTTGAAGAAACTGTTAGTCAGAGGGTTGCTGCCATAACGAGAGAGAGAAGAGATGAGAAAGGTTCAAAATGAGATGCATGTAGAGATGCGATCCTACAAAGATGAAAATCAAAAGAAGAATGAATAAGAGCCGACACATGAATCACAAGGCAGCGAAGACACGGAGGATGATTAGTGCTCTTATTTGTTTGATAAACTTTTTGTTTAAAAATTTGATTTGATGAACTTGTTGTGTGAAAGCAGACACGGAGGACATGGACATCTTATTGTGGATTTATGTGTTATGTTTATTGTAGAATATATACATTTATATTTGTTTAAACATTTGGTTATGCTCATTGTGGATTTCATTTGAATGCTATATATGTTGATTTTCAACTATAGTTGTGAGTTGATTATAGTGGCGTGTTGCTCTTATTTGTGATATATGTTTTCAATTATGTGTAGGTATTGTGGAAAATTGAGTACATAGAGGGGGGCTGTCATTTTTTTTTTTTGAAAATGCTACAGGTTTTTGACGGCCAATTAGCTATTTGGCTGCCAGAAACATCGATACCGGACGGCTTATTATAGCCGTCGGTAAATACCGGCGGTCACCAGCAGTAAACTAGCGGTTAGGCCGCTGGGAAAACTGGATGGCCGGTAAGCCGCCGGTAATTAACTAGCAGTCAATAGCGCTATGACCGCCGAAATTTACCGGCCGTTTATGCCGCCAAAAAGCCATCGGTAAGGTTAACCGCCAGAAATTGACCGCTTCAAATCATTTCCTACGTGTTTTATACCGGCGGTTTACTAACCGGCGGTATTTTAGGAAACCGCCGGAAACATAATACGAACCGCCAGAAGAAACCGCAAGTAATTTCTGATTTTCTTGTAGTGTTGATGGAGAGGTTAATCTCTTTACTGCAAAGCCAATCGGTCTCTCTTGAAAACCCAAAGCCAAGTAGTGAGTATAGATCATCCATGTTGATGAGAGTTAGTTTTGTGCGGATAGCAATTTTGAATGCCTGATATGAATTTTGAAGCGCATTTAAGATATAATGTCCTCTGAGTCAAGGTGAGAACTGGCGACAGAGATGCTATCTATTAGGGACTTGATGTGGGATAGGTATTAAGTCATGGTAAGATCTTTCATGATGATGTTGTGGAGTTTATTCTTGAGTTGAATGACTCTTGAGCTGTTAGTGGGTTAAAGTCTTTTCTCAAGAGTTTGCCATATCTTAGTGCAAATGCTGAGATTTAGAATATAGGAAATAATGCTGGCTGAAATGGTGGAGAAAATAGCAGCTGAAAGATTTTGGTCTATGAGATTCTATGTTGTAGGATAGATTTGGGGTGATTTCATTGGTAGATGATAGAATGTATTTCGATCGACATATTGATGTACCTATTAGGAAGCCTTCAAAGGAATTGGCAGAGAAGATTTTGAGGAGTTGAAGCCACCATATGACATAGTTATCGGAGGAAAGTTGGATATGAACAATGTGTTTGATATTGGACATGAGAAATTTTAGGGAAGGGGGAATAACAAGCTTTGTAGAGTTGGGAGGGTTTTCTAGAGCTTTTAAATAGGCACAACATAAATAATTTCTAAAGCTGATAGTGACGATGTGGTGGTACTGTTGGTATATCCAATGGAGTTTGCTTGACGTTGTTGGGCTTAGCAAAGCTTTGATATCATGAAGAGAATGTCTCTGTAACCTACAGTAGCTTAGCAATGCAAAAGTATAACAGAAAGAGCTTGAAGACGAGCTAAAGAATTTCATATTATTTTCTGATTCAATCTACAGTGGTTGTAATGATGTATATATAGGAGAAGATACAACCATTTCCAGTAGTCATTATCTGAAGGTGGAGAGGCTTCGCTGATCATCCAAACATAGTAAAGACGAGTTGCTATTGACCAGTGCTAGAGAACAAGGAGTGTATGTGATCAGTTGGCTTACTTATTTCATAGCTTATCATGGAATAAATGCATTTTAGTCATATATGAGTTATGATAAATTGATTTTATATGTTTCTTAATATACTTAATTGGTCAAATATACAAAGTATTTATTTTCTTGGACAAATATACTCAAAATTTATTTTAGAAAAAAATACATTTATTATGTTTATATGCCAATTTCCTACTATTGCTCACTAAAAACACTCAGCGATGATATCACCCAATTAATTCTCAGTTTTTTGCATGTTCAAATGTTCAAACAAAGTTTGTGAAGTATTTGAACAAGTTTCAAATAAGATAGCGATCTTACTTATAGTTATATTATGAGCAATTTTTCTTAAAGGCCAAGTAAGAATCAATATTCTCATATTATATGAATAATGATAGACAAAAAAAATAGTCAAATTAGTTAGACATTCATTAAGAAATAGAGCAAATGGTTGATAGTATAAAGAAGTATTCCCCAAATAATGTAGAATATCTAATATTCAAAGTTGTAGAGATTGATAAGAATCAAATTTAGCTTGAAGCTAGAGGTCATGTACCACATTGGTTGAGCAAAGTCAAAGATATAAATTCCTCAAATAGAAGTTGTAATAAACTATAATATTATTGCTTTCTACTTTGAATAAGATATTCATATCTATTAAACATCGGTCTCCCATTTATGTTGATTTCTCCCAAAAATATTTCAACTATATATTATAGTGCTAATGAGGATGATACAAGGTCAACCAATCAATCATTTTTTTTCATTTAAGAGTTGATGAATGTTATGTTGTCAACATACATGATGTAGATGAAGATGATGAAGTGGACATACATGATGGAGACGAACTTAATGTTTTGGACATACAAGATGCAGATGTGGAAACTTTATGGATGTTTCAAAACTAAGCATCCGCTAGATACTCTGGCCACATTTTATGGTATGCAAGAAACTAGTAAATGAGTTAGATCTTATGATTCTTCATATAACTTATGACCGAATGCAATAATTTATGATATGTATAATATATAAATACCTCTAATTCAATAGTTGCATGCTTAAGTATGTCCTCAACTTATTTCAACAGTTGGATAATTTTTTTAGAGCAAAGATGAGTTTAAAAAAGGTTACATTTATAAATATTGAAGAACTTCAATTCAAGGTGAAAAAATTATGGACAACCCTTTGGTATATTTGTTGCACTTCTGAAAAATGTTTATGGAACTTGCGAGCTGTGTAGTTAGCAAAATTA